AAATAAATCAATAAATGCACTGCTCTGTTGTCTCCTCTGAGGCTGGGACTCTAAACAGTGTTCTGTGCTCGTCTGTGCAGCCAAACACAGAACAGTTAGCATGCTTTGCTCAAACTTTCATCATGGCATTAGAGCTGGTACACCGTTGTCGCTTGCGAAAACACAATAATGGTGCATTGGGTGTAAACTTACAGATTAAGGGGCGGTAATATTATAATGAGATCCCTTTGCCGCGTCACCAAGCGAGCGAAATCAGACGCTCGTTTTCTCAGACGCTTGCAGAAAAAGGCTTCCCAAAACACAGTTACTGGGTTCATCTTGTTCACATTTCCTTGGTTGGTAGATGCACCCGAGACCTGATTATAGCACTTAACACCTGGAAAAGTCAGATTTTCATGATACGTCACCTTTAAGATCAAGAAAATCGGACTGACCGTCTGTACAAAGAAGTTCCCATGCTCACAATATGACACTAATTTGCCTAATTGTTCAGCGACCTAGAAACAGTGCAGAATATTAAACCTTTCTTCATTTCCTTAAGGATATATTTAATAGAACAATCAGCTGATTCATTGGTCTGGCCAGTAAATGAAGCAGCACATGCCTGTAAAATACGACATTTGAGCGTTTCGTTTGTAAGGTTAGGAAATGAGGTCGGTGAGTTCAAACGATGACAAGAGACCAAAGAGAGCATGTGTAATGTGCACGACGCTAAAAATAGATGGAAATCATATTCTCTGCCGGAGATCTGATTTACTGTAGGACATTTAATCCCGGATACATTTTCTCAGATTATACGTCTCTGTTTATCTTTGGGATTTTAACCCGAATGGAATACTGTATTGGTCCGAATATAAGTCGACCCTGATTATAAGACGACCCCCCTTTTTCCAGATGTACCTTTTGGAAAAAGGCTTTTAAAAAAACAAATCTTGTTTTTTCTCGGAAAAACACATTTTGTCTTCAATTATTTTCATATTGCATATTTTTCCTATTTTAATTTTTGTTTTGAAAGTATGGTAAAAACTGGTAAAATGTACCAACAATCACATTTAAAAAAATATACACTTTTTGATATACCATTAAAAAACAAAAACATGAATTAGGACATTTAGGACATCCATCTAATAGTAGCCTACCACAATCTCATTAACAGTAGAAGTTCAATCTTACTGTAGTCTTCAAATCTGGGTACCGTCTTACGTTTTAAAATCACGAAGGGAGTTTGGTCCCATCAGTCACGACTCATGCAGCTGTAAGCTTTTCTTTTTCTTTTGTTTTTACTCGTGATCTTTACATCACGCATTATATTACATATTTCACAGCACACTGGTTTTATGCGTATTTGGCGCCACCACTGATGCAATGCTACATTTCTCCAAACCTGATGAAGAAACAATCTCGGATGGCCTGAAGATGAGCACACTTTCAGCAAATGTTCATTTTTGGGTCAACTATTAACATTACCAAGTCAAGGTTTCTACAATACATGATGATTAAACCTGTTTAGCAGCATTTGTAGATGTGCAAAACACAATAAACGATCCTCACTGTTGATAATAATACACTAGTAAGAAATTCTAGCATCATTTACCCTCAGGAGGTCTTGTGGACAATTGCACAATTGTAAAGCTAACACTAGCATTCCCAATTTTTCCTATACAACGCGTCATCTTCAGAGAATTGAGCAAAGAAAGGCCATTATAATATGAAGTTGGAGAAATCCCACATGACTCTGAATGGACCGGTGAACATCACTTACAGCACCTTTTAAGTTTTTTAGGCCACAGAGTTTTCAGTTGTGTTTCAAAGTGCCTCGGCCTACACAAAAATAGAAGCT